ATTTAGCAACTTTCTGTTTAATATAGGATCTACTTCCCCTGTGTAGCAAAGCAATTACATAATTAATGGTTACATTCAAACAGAATGGCTCAGGAGAGAAAAAAGAATTTTTAGGACAACTGTGTCAGACTGGAAAGGAAGTATGCATCAGTAATTCCCTTTCACATTTGATACTTCAGCTAGTATTAACTTAAAAGTCCAAATATAAGCCATTAAGCAAAGAAATGAACAAAATGAAGATCAACCTTGCAGGGACAGTGATGAACTGAGAATAAGGACATTTGGGTTCAATTCCGAACTCTTCCCTTGCCAGTATTGCTTTGGGCAGTTTCTTTGTTGCTCCCTTCCTTATCTATTTAATAAGGATATTAATACTAGATTAATTCTACTTTTCCTGCATGCCTTTTGAAGGCCTCTTGAAGGCTTTTGTAATAAAAAGCACTACTTCTGATATCTGTAAAACACAGAAATATAGAGGCCTGCTTTTTGTTGAAGACACAAGAAGAATTAAAGGAGGGAATCGCCATCAGAGATGATGTTCTACCATAGGCCTGGTGAGAACTGCTGCTCAGTGTCAGTAATATGGGGCTAGGCAATATGTAGTGCTAAAGATGACCCTTCAGAAAGCTTCTAGTTAAAGGAATGACTTGTGAGAGACAATATAAAAGATCTAGTGAAAAAAAATCACAACAGAACACTTTCCTGTTTAAAAAAAAAAAAAAAAGAATCTTGTGTCATTTTGATATCAGTATTTCCCAACATATTGATTTTTAGAACTTCTCATTTTTAAAAAAAATTCAATTTTTGATTCTGGTTTATGTAAAACACAGATGCTGATCTATAGAAATTACTTGACCAAAAAATATTCTTTCTATGGACATTTACACTTAAACGACAAAACTTCAAGTTTCATTTGGAATTTGTTATGGGTTTTTTGCAGGCCTTTCAAAAATCAGGTTTCTGCTGGATCTTGAATCAAGACAGTTCAAGACATTCAGGAACAGAGGGACTGCTTATGCGCCACATTTTTCTTGACTGGAAATAGTTGCTGCAGGTGTGGAAAATATTTCCACTGCTCAGTATAACTTCCCTGACAATGCAGATGGTTCAAGCTTTAATTCATACTATTTATCTAAAGAAATATTCCAACAGACTGAAATGAAATACAGGTGTTCTCAGCATCGAACCTTTAAACAACTTAAAAGGAAATTACTAATTGTACTTGCTTTAGAATTGACAGAGAAAGCCAAATGCAGCTGTTGTACAAGTTCTAAAATGATTTAAAATGCCACTGAAGTGTCTTACGTCACAGCAAATCATGGGCAGTAATGTATGCTAAAGAAAATGAGCACCCTGTATGATGTAAACCTTCCTCTCTCAAAATACACACTCTTTAGAAAAGAGCCCACTATTATCACGATGTATATTACAAGGATAAAATAAACAAATGAACCCATTACTGCATTAGTGTACTGGGTACATATTAAGCTGCTATGCTTGTTTTTAAAATATTTTTCTTTCTACCATAATGCATAACCTTGTGGAGTAAAAGTCCTATGCAAAACGGAACTGTTCTTTACAAATGATAATTAATTAAATATTGCTTGTTATGCAATATATATCCTAATAATATAGACATTTATAAGCATGCAAAATTGCACAGAGAAATGAAACCCAGATGATTTTATCCTTCCTATTTCAATATATATCGATATTCTTTAGGAAGTTTACTATAATTATGATTTCATATTGTGTTTCTACACTGTAAAGAAAGATAAATGTTCCTGGATCAACTAAAGAGCTAAACATCATGTATTAACTAAAAAATGAACATATTTAATGCAGTAAAAAGCAGGGTAAGTATCCTTGAACCTAATAACAGAGAGTATGTTGTAATATCAGTGATGTTTCAAATGAACCCAGGATGGGTTCCTGGAAGAATTGACAATACCCAGTAGCAATGTTAATATTGTCAGAAAAATAATAAGGCAATGAATGTTTCCAATAAGAATACACTTTAGTTCATTTTGGAGGCCACTAATAAAGGTAAATTTTTGCATACTCTGATAATTTTTCTCTAACAATGTATCTCTACAGCTGCAGGATCTTTAAGAATGTAATTAACCTATTTTTCTTGCTCTAATTACAAGGCAAAAGATTTGCATAGGTAAAAAGAAAAATGATTTTGTTTAGAGGGAAAATCCAAATTATGCCTGAAGCCTAATAAATCTGTTGCCATGACAATCAAAGAGCCTGGTCTTACAAAACCTTTTACAATTTATCCACATGAGTAGTTCTTACTCACTGTGCTAGTTTTGACCTCTCCCATTCTGAGTGACCACCGTAAGAGATGGAGCCCCAAGTCATGGACTAAACAAACTCTATTAATAGAGATTTTGTGGACATTTCTGGATATTTTACAAGGGTGGTGCATAGACTAAGGCAGTGATATCTGCATGTTATATATAAAAATGGGAAGGGGGGTTGGTTAATGAGGATGTATTGGATAGTGTGGTAGCTGAGCTTGATGTAAGTGGTGTAGAATAAGGAATAATATGCTGGGTTTAGCTGGAAGAGACTTGATTGTCTTTCTAGTAATTAGTATGAGGCTATGTTTGGTGCTAGAAGCATACTCACAATATAGAGATGTTTTATCTCTTGCTGAGCTTCCACAGTGCCGAGGCCTTTGGTGCCTCTCATCTCACCCCACCAGAGACTGGGCTGGGGCTGCACAAGGAATTGGGAGGGAACACAGCAGGCACACATGGCCCCAACTGACCTAAGGGATATTCTGTACTATATGGTGTCATAAAACACATAAAGCAGCATATAAAACAGGGGAAAGACAAAGGAAAAGGGGAGAAGGAATGTTCAAATTTATGGCATTTGTCTTCCCAAGTTGCCATTACACACAATGGAGCCTGGGACTCCCAGAGATGACTGAACCATGGGAAGTGGTGAAGGAATTCCTTGTTTTGCTTTGCTTGAGTGTGTGTGGCCTTTGCTTTACCTACTAAACAGTCTTTGTCTCACCCATGGGTTTTCTCACTTGTACTTTTCTGGTTCTCTTTCCTGTCCCACCAGCAGGGAGTGAGCAAGCAGTCCTGCAGTGTTTAGCTTCCAGCTGGGGTTATACAATTATATTCATTCAAGTTGTTCCCCTGGTTGACATAGAACTTCTGATGTGAAGAGAGGTTTGCAATGGGCAACTTGAATTTAGGATGCAGTCCTTGTTCACATAGAGAGTTGAGGGGATGAGTTCTGCAAGTAAGAGCTTCTTTCTGACAGTGAAGATGACATTTGTGGGTTGTGTTCTTCTTTAGTTTTGCTTATTGGTTCTTACACTAGTCACACATTTTAGATAGCAAAATACACAAAATTTCTGCTTCAATGCACAAGTATATGTGATTTGAACCTTTACTCCTAAAGTCAAGGCTGATTCCTCTGAACCCTGTTGAAATATTGTCACACTACAATGTGTTTTTTCATCTGTGCTTCCTCCTGCTGCAGTGATTTGAAGAAGTTGCATTACCATTCTTTCTTTAAAAATTGCCTTATGGAGTCCTCCATCATACAAGGAGAAGATTTATTGGAAACTACGACAAAATTACTTCTTTTGAATCGTATTTAAGCTCTGATTCTTGTTCATGAGTCCTGCTGTGGCCTGGCTTTTGTGATTTGGCTTTATTTACCCTTCCCATCCTGAAAACCTGCTGCCAGGAACCTGTCCTCTCCATAGCCAGCTGCACAGTCCTTGACAGCTGCCACACAAACCTACTCCTGATCTTTTTCCGGCTCCATCAAAAGTAGTCAGATTTCCAAGGGGTTGCCCTCAGAGTGGAGGCAGGCCCTTACCACAGTTTACTCAAGAACCACTCAACTTTCCAAACTCAGTGATCAACCAGGATGCATAAGAAAATGCATATGTTTCACATTACCGCTATATCATCTTTTAGCTCTACCGTAATTTCTAAAACAGAGACCCAAATAAACCAGTCTTCCTGGAAAAGAAATCTGCTCTTCCATCCCAGTTTATGTGCAATTCCTGATCTCCTAGGCAATTTCTTGACAATGACCGTAAGTATTTGTAAGTCAGGTAGTTATATCTCTTTGTACTCCCTTAGCACCCTTCATCCAGGAAGACAAAACCACATTACAGCTATTAACAAAAAAAATCTTGCAATGCCCACTGAAGGTATTTCTAATAATTCTCTGCACTCCTCTAATACACAGAAAAAGTTACTTGATGTGAGAACATCCCATACGGGATTTGTTTATTTTATGACCTGGATAATAATTCACATTTTCAGCTTTCTGACATGTGTAAGAGGATCTGTCTCCCACTGCTTCTAAAACACAGCATCCAAGTCTGCAAGTCTGGTAGTTGTTTCCCATGGAAACAAAATAGAATAAATCTTTTGTACCTGCCAGTACCGCAGACATTCAAAACCTTTCTGTAGCTTTCATTTACTAAAATAATATTACTCATTCTTGCATTGATATACGATTTCCTTTTCCTCCCATTTTTGCCTTCTAGTGGTCAGTGCACGACTGAGGTGCAGGGAAGGTATAGAACCATAACCCCAGAGAAACAGACAGAGCAAGAGAAGGAGGAGGCAGGAGGAGGGGAATGGAGGGAGGGAGGGAGGGAGGGAGGGAAAAAGAGAGAAATGTCAAAGCGAATTCCTAAACATCCTCTTAAGCATGGAAACACGAACAGTGCAGCTGCAGATGTTCCAGTCCAAGTGCAAATGACAGCACAGGTGTGCACAAGCACACACACGCATACACACTGTCACAAAGCAAGGGAGAAAGACAGAAACGATCTTACAAAGCTGCTGCAGTAATCAGGACTCTTGCTCCTGAAAACAACCACGGAAGCAGACATTCTTTTGTTATGTTTGTACATTTTTTTTCAATTTTAATTTCACTATTGCTATTTTTTTATACCTCTCACCTCATCAGATAGTTATTATTAAAAGAAAGGAAAAAGGCCTTACCATGCAATGCATCAGGAAGAGATGAGAAGCACAGAGCATGCTGCAGAGATTAAGCTCAGCATGGCATTCAGATATCCTTTGGAACTGAAGAAAATTGTCCAACCCATTCTTCCTAACAAAGCGGACAAGTTTTCTCTAGGCTTGAATTTTTCACCAGAAGACAGATCCTTACAGTGCATTATATTTTCTTCTTCAGGAGATGTATTTCCTCCAGTTAAGTTTCAGCTCCGCAATGCCATTTCCAATCAGCTCCAAGAAGTTCTTCATTCCCAGATTCGCGGTGTCATCAGAGGGACTCCAAAGAAAATCAAAGAAAGAAAGAAAGAAAAAAAGAAAGAAAATAATACCTTACCAAAGCCCTGAAATTACTACACTGAAAAGGAGAAGATATAAAAATCCCACAATACCCCCTCATTTACTCTATTATCTAGGTGTTTCACAACAATCAATACTACCTCTTTGGTCTCATATATGCAGTGCTGATCATTTGTAACAAAGGAAGAAGCAAAAACTTTCCCAATTTACAATGATGCATTTTCATTGCTGTTCCTCAACTGTATACTACCAAAAAACCCTTTTCATCCTCAGGCATCTTTAAAACCATCTGACAAAAACCAGCTATCCCTTCCCCTTCCCAAAGAACACGAATATTAGAATTTCTAGAAAAGTGTTGAAGAAAATCTGAAAATAACCAAAAAATACAAATCAGACTCTAAAAGCAAAAGCCTTGAAGCAGGAGGCTTCTTGAACAATGAGGTACTTTGCCTGAAGAATTTGGGGACGTACACATTAAATACCCTAGGGAAGGAGAAAGGGGAAAAGAACGGTGGCTAAAGGAGTGTTTGGAGAAGATGGGGTGGGACCAAGTGGGTGTCAGGCAGGAGTGGGATCCTGAGTCACCGTCAGCCTCCTGCCTGCTCACTGACAGCAGCTCGGGCTTTCCCTGCACTTTCTGCAAAGCATATTAATTGATTCTGGTTGCCGAGCAACTAACTCTGGGGAGCCACATCGACGGCTCCGGTTCCAGCACAGCTCCAGCAGCAGCAGCAGCAGCAGCAGAGAGGGGATGGTCTCCCCCGCCTCTCCTCTCCTCCTCCCGGAATCTGTCACCCTATCCGGATGTCCTTAGCTGCCCTGCAGGGAAGGTTTGCAAGGAAGAAGCCCTCAGCAGGGCAGCAGGGAGGAGCTGGGATGCTCCCCCAGCCTGTGCTGCACTGGCAGGACTCAGGAGAACAGCCTGACCTCACAGTGACAGCAATCCCCCTCTGCCACCCTGCTTGGGGTGCCTGGGCCAGCGGGGCTGGTGGCCACGAGAAACCCAACCAGCTGTGTCGACAGGTAGGGGAATCAGGGTAGTGCAGCCACCTTCTGAAAAGCAAAAATCATCTGCAAGATGTTAAAATGACAACAAAGTCCCACGGTTATCACAGAAACATAGAATATCCTGAATAGGAAGGGACACACAGGGATCATCAAAGTCCAACTCCTGGCCCTGAAAAGAATCCTACCATGTGCCTGAGAACCTTGTCCAAATGCTTCTTGAACTCTGTCAGGCTGATGCTATGACCAGTCTTCTGGGGATCCTGTTCCAGTGCCCAGTCACCCTCTGGGTGAAGAACTTCTTCCTAATATCCAATCTAAACCTCCTCTGACACAGCTTCATGTCATTTGCTCCGATCTTATGTGAGTTTCTACTTGAACACATAGCCACTTAAGCTCTGTCCCTGCAGTAACAGTAATTATTGCTTATTCCTGACCTCTTTATCATGTTGAACTTCAGACAGAGCAGGTATTTGTCTGGCTGAAAGGGTGCACTCTAAACCAGAACCACCACACAGAGGAATTGCCTAGGTATCTTTGACACTGTTTTTGGTACAAAAGGGATGCCTCTGACAAAACCTTATAATTGCTTTAACTGATACATTTAAGTTCCATGGAAGAGCAAAGCAGCAAAGAGGCCATTTAGTTTTGGTCCACAAAAGAGATGGGATAACTGAGTAACTGAAGCTGGCTCAAAGGGGTTTCTCCTGAGTGCCTTTACTGATGGCCCAGTAGGAGAAACACAGAGGATTTCTGCAAGGTTGATGACAAGGGAATGGACCCTGAAATTTGTGGCAGGGCTTCCACTGACTTCTGTGGCTCTAGAGTGAAAGAACTCCCCAGAACATCACAGTGTCTGAAAGAGGACATTTCCCTTGTGGTGTATAAATCCTTAGTCAGATCATGGCATTTGTTCAGCACTGACTAAGCTGTCTTGCTGTTGCACAGGTAAGATGCAAGAAATGAAAAGACCTCAAGGTTTCTCTCTCTGTGACCTGGCAGAAAGTACAACACTAGATCTTGGCCAAACTGCTCACACACGATTACTGTCAAAGATCTGAGCTAGGTCAGCTCTTTATTCAGTTATAGTGATAGGATAAGTTAAAGGGCAAGGCCCTGAGAACTACCTTAGCTTGCAGTCACAGAGCAGAATTATCTAATTCTCCCCTTGAAAAACTCCAACCTGTATCTAGTAAGCCCTATCTAAGTGGCAAACACCAGGTCTTTGTGAAAAGGGACAGGTTATTTTAAGGAAGAGAGTTACTTTTCTGACAGTAGCTTAGCTGCACCACACTGCTTTCATGCTTTATAAAAAAAGATCTACAGTTTAGCCTCATTTTCTTAGCAAAGACAGATGCTTCACATATCTTCAGAGCTCAGGAAACCATGAGATCCTGTTAGCAGAGCTGCTGTATGAAGCAGATTACAGAATATATTCAGTTCATCCAATATGTTTATTGATATGAACATATACTGGGAATTCTTTATCCCCCAAGTATCACATCCAGAGAAATATGGGAACATTTAGACTAAGGGAACAAAGAGAGGTGGAGAGATTTCACAAATTCTTGCAAAGGAATTATTGAGTCTATATTAATGGATTTCAGCAAACACATAGTAAAGAAAGATTTCTTTCAGCATGATAAGTTGTTGTTGTTTTATCTTTCCACTATTACTCCTTTACATTCATGCTGGTGCCTGTTTTTATCCCCAACAGTGCAATCTTTAAAAAGTGTGACAACAAAGTATTAATATTTTAATGTGCTTTGCTTTGTACTTTATTTTTACAAGGCAGAATACCAAACAGTGTTGAAGTTCTTTGTAGTGGCGAAAATATCTCTAGAAGTTTTAGGGAAGGGCAGTTTGAAGGGCAAAACAATAAAACAAAACAACCATAGAAAGAAAGCAAGTCAACAACAGGTGATTTCAAAATGAAAGCAAACTAGTGTGTAAGAAGGAACTATCAGATTATTAAAAACAATTTAGGAGAGGTAGGTTTGAAGATGTCAACATTTCTGCAACTTTTAAGTGTTTTTTTCTTACAGAATGCAATGCTGGTTAGATAAAATTCAGTATCTTACAGAAAGCAAGTACAGTATCCCTCTTTCACTTACACAAGACTTGAATTTAATCTCATAAAAATGCTTTTTATTATTCATTGAAAAGGCTGACTAATGCATATGTTCTATTCCTATTCCATTTTTTATGCGTCTTTTCTCTTTTCACCTTTATATCCTTTCAATAGTAGCATTATCCTCTTTGAGAAAATAGGTGTCCTGTGAGCCTAAGAACCAGCGCAAGCTAGGACCGAGTCAGCCCTCATTCCCTGAGGGAATGGTACAGCTGGTGTCCCATCCAAACCTGGCAGCACTCTCCATGGTAAAGCCCTTGATCCAGACAGGATCCCTACTGCAGCACCTTGGGCACCAAAGTAACAGGGAGGTGAAACAAGCCATGGCACTGGTTGGGCAGAGCCCATTTCTGATCTTAGACTCTATTGCCAGGACCTGATAGTGAGAGAAAGTCCCCAGGGAGACAAATGGGAAGAAAAAAGACACTTCTGTCAATATGTTCTAGTCCAGAGTGTAGGTAAGGGCCAAGTGGAAAGGTGGCATTTAAAAAAGGCAAGTGAGTGCTGCAGCAAGCACGACATGGTGGCTGAGGCCAGGGAAACAGTGCCTTTCTCTGAGTGAGCAGATGCCTGTGTGGAGGGACAGAGGGCACCCAGGGTGGATGGGCTCCTTACTCTGCTGGGCAATTACTCTCCTCTGCCCTGAATCACAGCAGAGAGCCATGGAGACTCAGGAGATGGGGCCACAGACTGTCAGACATTTAAGAATTTGAAGCAGAAAAATCTCTGGGGAATTCTCCCTGCAAGCCAGGAGCAGGGAAGACCAGAGAGCTGGAAGCAGAGGTGCACCAGCCTTGCTCTTTGTGCGCTCAGGATGCTTCTGCAGTGCCTGTCAGCAGCAGGTGCCTTCCACAGCACAGTGCAGAGGCCACCAAGTGACACGGGAAACCTCCTCCCCAGCTGAGCCAGCTGCCTGCCACGCCATGGTCCAGACACTGAAAGCAGGTGAAACAGCTTGTCTTCCTCACAACCATAGCTTAATACTATGAAGACCATCATTTTATTCCTTGCAAGCCACATCTTTCCAGAATCTGTGATTTGAGAAGTGAATTAGATTTTTAAATGCAGTATTGTATGTAAAAGATACAGTAACTTTAACAGAAACACAAAGATGTGCCCAGATAATGAAGATTATTTAACATATGAAATAAAAGTATAATTCAATTATTAATGAAATTTTGATTAAAAACTGGTGAAAATTATTTACAAATAAGTGTTCTGGGCATGTTTCTCATTTTGACCTTTCAAGATCCTGTGTCACATTTGCTATTCAGTCAATTACAGCACAAACAACTGAATTGATTTCTTGCCTTTTTAGTTTAAATGCCATAATACATGCAAGAGAGTCTGAGCTTCAGTGAGTGTATTTCCAGGTCATCAGCAATTAATTGAAAAATCTAACCATATGAAATAGACCTTTATTAAAAAAAAAATATCCAAAGCATGACAGAGGATGTACACATAGTTCCATCTATCTGTAGAATATTTAGCATTCCTAAATGCTATTTTAAATTTAATTTTTTATTTAAATTTAATTTATTTAATATATTTTAATTATATTATTAGTGTGATAATTATTTTCCACATTCTGTATGGGTCTCTTTCTTTTCTGTTTTCCGTCAATGCAAATCAGACTAGGATACCATAGCTGTCAAAAACTTACAACACTAAGAAAATGGTATGTGGTAAGTAAATTATAAGTAAAGCCAGTAAAATGAAAAACATTTATCATTTGTTATTCTCTTCCTTTTTAAATAAATGCTGCTTTACTACAACTTAACTGCCAACTGACTAAAGAAATGATAAAAGGTTACAGCTTGTGTTTGATAATTGTTTGGTTTGTT